CATAGAAACTAGTTAACTAGTCGACTGTGTAAGAATTACGGACACCACCTATCTCCATATTGGTATGATATTGTTCACTTTGGGACTAAGCTCTCATGGATTTGCTCTTGGGTTATACCCAAAAAGCCTCATACCAATGGAGATATTTGTCCATCCTTATATTCCCTTGATCCTCCCCATTTCTAACCAATGTGGGACTTTGGTCGCATACCCAACAATCCTTCCCTCGAACAAAGGACCACCGAGCCTCTCCTCAAACGATCATTTATCCATCCACTCTCTGCCAATCAGGATTTTTCATCCTCTACTTCTCTCTATTTCATCGTGTTGGGGTCAGGACACGTCCATGAAGCATCCGGAGAGCACTACCTGACTTGAGAGTTTTTGCTCTTTCTAGGTCAACTCCTCTTCATCGTGTTGAGATCAGGACACGTCCATGAAGCATCTGGAGCACACCGCCTATCCAACAGAGTTGATCCATGGATTACATCGTGATTTAATTAGGGCTCACCACCTTTTGTTCGGCATTCCGAGGATTCATCCATCATGGCTAACTCGGGGGCATGGCTCTAATACCACTTCTAAGGATTACGGACACCACCTATCTCCACATTGGTATGATATTGTCCACTTTGGGACTAAACCCTCATGGATTTGCTCTTGGGTTATACCCAAAAGGCCTCATACCAATGGAGATATTTGTCCATCCTTATATACCCTTGATCCTCCCCATTTCTAACCAATGTGGGACTTTGGTCGCATACCCAACAGTTGTAACACCTTGGTTCCAATACTCTGGAATCAAAGCAAACCCCCAATTCGCCCTTCATCTACCATCACCACTCCTTGGCTGGAATGACACAAATCCATCATCATCATCATCATCATCATCATCATCTAAGCATGTAGACCTGAAGTATAAGGGATGGTTAGGATACTTGGATGCGAGTGCTTTTGTGGATGCAAACTGCTCCTTCTTTCATCATTCATGTAGCTCCACAAGTCATCAACATCAGTTGTCTTGAAATGAAGAAGTCTAGTTCTTGGAGAGATGTTGTCCTCCATTTTTTGTCTCTAACTATGGAGACCACACAACATCTATAAAATGATCGATGCTGCATTTAAGTGATAAAAAAAAATAAAAATTGTTTAGATGCAGAATTGAGACCATTCCATGTAGCTGGTGAGCATTTCTCATGGCTTGTCCCTTCTTGCATATATAAAAATGGATATGAAGATGAGTTGATCAGATATCAAGATGCTTCTTCAAGATGACTCCCATTTGGTTTGGACATTTTCTTAAGAAAGTGGTTTGTTGATTTTAATGTCATTCCCAATTTACTATGAGATCTCGATAATAATTCATTAAGTTAATAAAATAATAGTTATAAAAAAATATTAAAATTTGTAGGGTCCTGATGCTGTAGAATAATAGAAGTGACAATAAACTTAATTAACATTAGGATCCTACAAAAATATCTGTAGAAGAATTGAACTCGTAGAACTCCGAAAACAAGGTATGATTTAGAACATGAGTGATTATTTTTTAAAGTATTTTTTATTTAAAAATATATATTAATAATATTTTTTTTATTTTTAAAAAATTATTTTTAAGATCAATATATTAAAATGATTTAAAAATATTAAAAATATATTAATTAAAAAAATTTAAATTTTTTTCAAAGCATTTTTAAAATGCTAATAAATACTATAATTTTATATGAATATCACTAAGAAAATTACTCTTAAAATCTTAATTAAAAAAATATAATTTATAACTTTCTTTAATATTATATAGTTTGGAGTTCTTAATATTTGATTTTTCTAGAAAATTAAAGTTCAAAAAAGAAAAAATGAAACTTCTTGTTGAAATGTAATATTTCTCCATACGTAATTTTTAAAATTTATAGTGAGTTTGTAAAACACATTCTAGAGGTTTTTCATAATTATTTTTTTATAAGTTTTCCACTATTTTTACAAATGAAGAAAAGAAATGAATAGTGCAAAAAATTTCTTCCTTTGAACAACGTAAAGGTATAATTTGTTTTCTTATATTTTTATATTCAATTTATCTCATAACTTTAATTTTCTTATTATAAATCTCATATAAAGTTTTTTAATTAACAAAGTTTTCATGATAATTTTTTTTAATTTGAATGAAACAAAATTAATATTCTACAATTAGAATATGACAAATATAAAATATCAAAATAACTATTGTAAATTATAATTTTGATTTTTTTAATAAAAAAATAGTTCTCATCTTATTGTATGTTTTAACTTTTTTAATATAAAAAATTGTTTTTGTTCTGTTTGATTGGGTTTTTTTCTAATTGAAATGATAAATTACAGCTTCAAAGTATTTTAACATTTCATTGCATAATTTAAAATATTAATTCAAGTTACATTATTTCAAATAAAATATAAAAATAAAATAATTTCAAATTATAAAATACAAAACAATATCAATGTTAAAGACAATAGCATAGCAAACCGCTTGATTAGCATTCTACTGCCCTTCAGAATATTCAGGCGTTTATGTATGGGCTATTTTTCATTGGATACGTATATGCACTATTTGTTTTATGGTGTAAAAGTAGATAATACTCGTTTTGAGGATTCAAACAACGCAAAAATCAAGCATATCGGAGCTAAAACAAAGCCACACGGTTTGATCAAGCATATCGGAGCTAAAACGAAGCCCGCGACTGAACCTCCACTTGTCAAGTCATCACTGGGTGCGATCCTGCGCAAGCAGCTCTGCCGGCACCCGCCTCTGTTGTTTGATCAGAACCAGATTTTGCATGTTCAGATTTAAGCCACCCGGACTCGGAATCTTGTGATTTCTGAGTCGATCCCAGCAGACTTGATCATTCCAGACACAACCACAGAGTCTGATTTTGAAGATTCACACTTGAAGTTTGCGAAAGAAATGGCAGAGGAAATAAAGTTGTTGGAATTGAAAATTTTGAATATTGAAAAATGGAAATTAAAGGTTATTTCTAAGGAAAGAAACTTCACCTTCTTTTGCTAGGAAGAAAGCCAAAAAAATGTGGATGAAGAAGAATGAGCCTCTCTTGATCGACAAGTTCTTGGTTTGGTTAGATTAACCTGAACGAGAAACGTTGCATATATAGTGTCATCAAAGAAAGAAGCACTACGGGCCTAATGGTAGCAATGTACGACATGTATGAAACAAGACATGTGTTTTACAAGACAAGAGATAGTAGGAAGGGAAGCCACTTTGGTAGCAGCATCTTCATACAAAGTGAACAGCACTTTCAAATTCCTTACAAGAGAAGATGGGGCAGTCCTGGGTAGCAAAGGAGAAGTCAGAAAACACATGAAAACAAAAATGGCAGATTCCAGCACTAATGAATAATTTCGGCAGCTTCGTGTGATTCAAATTTCAGTTTTTGTTGTTTTTATTTTAATGCAATCTTTGTATTTTATTAAGGTCGTGTCCAGACCTTAGTTCTTTAAGTTATTAGTTTAGGGAAGTATAAATACCCTTTTAAAAGGGAATGTAAGGCTTGGAAATTACAGACTTTGTTGAATGAATTATTTGTCTTTGAGAGGATTTTCACACTTTGATTCTTAAATAAACTAAAAATCAACTTGCTTAAAAATAATTATCTTCGTAGTGTAATTTTTTATACTTCTTGTTTATAATTTGTTATAATTATTGGGTGAGAGTTTTATTCTAATAGTCTAGGTGAACCAACTGATTAGGTATTCATTGTATTAAATTTTTATTTTTAAATATAATTTTTAGTTTTTTTAAATTTGTGTTAATTTTTGTTATAGATTATGTAACCGAAGTGATTACAAAATTCATATTAATTAATTATTATGCATTTTAATATCAATGGATGAAAAACCCCATTTTGTCCCCAAACAATTTTACAATACCAAAATGGTCCTAGAAGAAAGAGAATTTTATTAGCTTTTTTTTTTCTTTTCAAATAACAGAAAAAAGGGAAAGAAGGTGAAAACATTGTTCCCATCCACAATGCCATGTGTCGATGTGAACACCCCTCTCTTTTTTTAATTTTTACAGACGTGGTCATTTGAACTATTGACTAGTCCTAAATTTTGAGCAACCATGTTCAAATAAAAAAGTGCACTGCTTTTATGGATATTGGATGACATTTCTTTACTATTAAATGCTGGAAACAGCTCCACTTAGACAATGAAAGCTTTTACATAGAAAGGTATATCTCTTTTGATTAAAATATCTCTTGATTTGAACTTTCTAGACATATCTAGATGCTTGAGTTGGTGAAATTCTTTTCAAGATATTTTCTTTTTTCTTCCAAAGCAAGCATTCTCTTCATAGCTAGAGCATAAGGGAGTGAAAAATGTGATTCAAGAATTCATCGATCCTAAAAATAAGAAATGAGTAAAGTTCCGTCATTGATCGAAAGTTACAATCTTCATAGATATACACCAACAGGTCTTCATGGACAATGATGTCCACTTAACAAAATAATATAATATAAACAAATGCATCAACCAAAGTCAACAGAAACCTGCCTCAAAAGTAGCCTTGTCAGAAGGGACACTTGACAGTATTACAGATGGAGGGTTGAGGTTAAGCAAATTAGTTTTCTAAAGCTTGAAAATCCTGGCCCCTAAACTTAGAAAACTATTCCTAATTGCGCAATATTAGATCATATATTATAAGTTTATTAGAACTACAAGCTTAACAATATTCAACGTTCTGGATAAAATAATAATTACTTGAACAAGAGGTTTAACATATGTTTAGAAAATTATTTTTACTAGAGTGGTCATTTGAGCTATCTACGAGTCCTAAATTTTGAGCCAACAGACAGATTCAATGCTAGGGAAAAAACCTGCCTTTGTGGATATGTCTTGATTTGAACTTTCAAGACATGTCTAGATGCTTGACTAGTTCAAATTCTTAACTGAATGTCTTTTTCTTCAAAAGCAACCATTCTCTCAACAGATGTAGTATAAATAAGAGAGTATGTTACCAAGTTCCTATGCTCAAATCAAGTAATTTTAGAGATGACTACATGTCTAAGCACTACAACAATGTTGCCATTTCTGTGTTTCCTTCTCTTTTCCTTCTTATGTTCAGCTTCAGCTCACACTCATGAGGATTTTCTACAATGCCTTTCCCTTTATTCTGAAGACTCCAATTCCTTTTCCAAGCTCGTTCATACCCCAAACAACTCTTCCTATTTACATGTCTTGCAGGGCTCTATACAGAACTCCAGGTTTAATACAACTGCAACCCCAAAACCTCTAGTTATTGTCACACCAATGAATGTATCACACATTCAAGCAACCATTTTCTGTTCCCAAAAACATGGCATGAATGTTAGAATTCGCAGCGGCGGCCATGATTATGAGGGTCTTTCATATGTTTCCGTTCTCCCTTTTGTCATCATTGATCTAATCAATCTTCGAGCAATCAATGTTGATGTAGAAAACAGCACTGCTTGGGTTCAAGCTGGTGCAACTCTTGGCGAGCTTTACTATAGCATTGCTGAGAAAAGCGGAACTCTTGCCTTTCCTGCAGGTGCTTGTCCTACTATTGGTGCTGGAGGGCACTTAAGTGGAGGTGGGTATGGAGGGCTGATGCGGAAATATGGCCTTGCTGCTGATAACATAATTGATGCTCAATTAATCGACGCTAAAGGTAGAATTCTTGATAGAGCATCAATGGGAGAAGATTTGTTTTGGGCCATTCGAGGCGGTGGAGGAAATACTTTTGGAGTTGTTGTTGCATGGAAATTGAAGTTGGTTCCTGTTCCACACACAGTGACAAACTTCTCCGTCTTAAGATCTTTGGAAGAAAATGCAACCAAGTTAATCCATCGGTGGCAGTACGTTGCAAACAAGCTTCCCGAAGATCTCTTCATTACAGCATATATAACCAAAATTAATTCTAGTGAGGAAGGAATTTCAACAATACAAGCTGAATTCCCTTCTTTATTTCTTGGTGGGGCTGATAGGCTTCTTCCATTGATGCAAGAGAACTTCCCTGAGCTCGGCTTAGTGAAAGATGATTGCACCGAAATGAGCTGGGTAGAATTTGTCCTCTACAATTCTGGATATTCTAGTAATTCTTCCTTGGATGTGTTGCTCAACAGGACTCCTCAATACATAACAAATTTCAAAGCAAAATCTGACTACGTCAAGAAACCTATTCCTGAAATTGCGTTCGATGGGATATGGAAAAGGTTCCTTAAAGAAGGTATCGAGACGCCTAGATTGGTCCTAGTTCCATATGGAGGGAAAATGGATCAGATTTCGGAATCTAGCATCCCATTTGCGCATAGAGCTGGTAATTTATACAAAATTCAATACTTGGTGCTTTGGAATGAGCAAGGCAAGGAAGCATCAATGAGACATATAGCTTGGATTAGAAGGCTTTACAGTTACACGACTCCTTATGTTTCAAAAAATCCTCGAGAAGCATATATTAATTACAGGGATCTTGACATTGGAATGAATAACCTGGCAGGCAACACAAGTTTTAAACAAGCAAGCATCTGGGGCAGGAAATATTTCAAGAATAACTTTGACAGGTTAATACAAGTGAAGACTGCAGTTGATCCTGATAATTTCTTTAGAAATGAACAAAGCATCCCACCACTCTCTTCTTCGTGATCATAGCGACCAGATGATTTTTTATATTTGAAAATGATTTGATGCTGATAAAGGTATTTTCTTCTGTATTAGATATTAATAAAAGTTTGGTCAGTGATCATTTATGGCCAGAGTTTTTATGTATTAGTCCAATAAAAATGGAGAACACATGTCATTTGTTTTTTAAATAAATTAGCATAGATCATGCGTTTGAACACTACAATTTTTGTTTTATATACAAGTTTTTTTTTCTATATTTTGTGTGTGTTAATGACTTGATACCATCCAGCATTGCTGCTCATTGTGCTGAAGACGGATACATTAATGGATAGGAAGCCAAAATAAAAGGACTTGAGGAGTTTCAAAATGAAAATAACAGAGTTACAAAGCCACATAGTATTGGTCAGGAATTTAATGAAATATACCAGCAAGTTTTATCATAAAAATACATAAATTATGGTCTAATTTCAATAGTAGCATGCAAGATGAACGAGTTTATAGGGTAGCTAATCAATTTTATTATAGCAATTGAATTTTTTTATATAATGAATTAATACTGCCTATAAAAATTACAAGGTGACTTTGAAATATTACATATACTTAAATCATAAAATATTTAGGATTACTTTTTCGGAGTGTTGGCCATATACAATTAAATGAAAGAAAGTGTGTGTGATATAAATTCCATTTTATGGTAATCACAATAGAAAAATTACAAAATATGAATTTTTTTGATAATTCAAGGTTTCATGAGAAAAATACAAGCCATAAAAAAATGAATAAAATTTAAGAAGGTATAGGAGCATAAACACTTTTTTTAAAATTCTATACAAAAAAAAAAAAACAAGATGACTCTGGATATATCCAAGAAGGTAAAGGGCATGACCAAGATAGAGAAAGAGAAACAAGAGATAGAATGAGCTGGATTTATTCCAACTCGCTGCGGAAACACAGCAAAATATGTGTGAGAAAAACACTAGGAAGCTAAACACCAAAAGAAAGAGAGAGTGTTGTGAGTGTGAGAGTTTGAGTTGAGTTGAGAAGAGAGTTTCTCCTACTCCTTGTAATATGTATGGTTTCTCTAGTTAATGAAAATAGCAGCTCCAAATTGCCGAACCTAACTCTTGTGGGCATCCTTTTTTTATCCTAACAACCAGTATCAAAGCAAGGTTCATGAGTGTTCTTGATTTTCCCCCAGAAATCAAAGTGTTCCAAACTTTGATTCGAATATAGCACTGGATAATACTCATTTTGAGGATTCAAACAACGCAAAAATCAAGCATATCAGAGCTAAAACGAAGCCACACGGTCTGATCAAGCATATCGGAGCTAAAACGAAGCCACATGGCACAGGTTACAGAGATCAAGCCCTGATAATTATGATCAAGCCACATATTAAATTTGAATATGATAAATAATTCTTTTAATAAAAATCTTCGAAAATGACAAGAAAAATTCAGAACTTCAAATGACTAATAGCATTTAAAACTTCTTTAATATAATGGGTTGAATAGTTGTGCTTATCAGAAATTGGTGGCAAGTTCGAATAATGACATGCAAGGAAATCTGAATCTGCTATCGAATTATAATAAAAAAATATATAATTTCTAAAGCCAATTTTCAAATCAAAATCGAAATAGAAAATGTCGAATACTAGGAAAATAATGCTCTAGTAAAACAAAATAAGAAAGAGTTATTTTAATAGTTACATTGGTAGACAACATGATCAAAAAAGTTTTTCCAAGAAATTGTGGAAATCTTTTTTATTTTAACAATCAATTTCTTACTTCAAGTTTCTTGTGTGGCAAGTTTTTGGTGAAGTTATTAATTGATTTGAAATCTTTATTTTTTTTTCATAGTTGTTGGACCTGTCCAAAGAGCTAACCATGAAAAAAAGCTTGGGTTTTAGAGCTATGGTATCAACTTATGAGTCATTAATTCAATATAAATCAATTGTTTTTTTTAATTAAAATGATATTATTTAATTCTTATTTTTTCTTAAATATTTTTTGTGGTTATTAAACTTTTATTAAATTCAATTAATTTTTTTTTAATTGAGTTCTTCAACATACAATCTTGAGTTTTTCTTTTTAAAATTAAATTTTTTTTATTAATAGAATCTTCATTAGTTAAACATATGCAGTTCAATTTTTTAATTTTATGTATTTTAATCTTTCTCAATCAATTTTTAGCAATTTCCTAGGAAATATGATATGTTCTTATATATATATTCTTCCAAGAATTTTTTTTTTTGTATTTTTATGTTTATATGAGCCCCAAAAATAATAACAACACTACATATGAATATGAATTGTAGACATAATAACTAACATGATTGGGTAAAGTCGATATCTTTGAAATTTCAACAATCAATAAAATGCAAATAAGCTTTCTTTAACCCAATTGGTTGACTTCAAGGCTAACTTGAACTTCGTGGTAACTTCCAACTTTGAAAGATTTTGTTATGCTGAGGAGATTTGAAGCCGCTTTTGACTTGTAGCAATAAGTTAAGGATTTTTCATGGCACAAAATTCAAAAGTTGATGCATTGACTAATATAATATGACAAATTCTTGATCTGACCTTTCCAGCCTCACCCTTGCTAGATTGACTACTAGGCTTCCAATTAAATAATCTATATTTTCTTTGCCACTTTTGAAGGAGGAAGTGTTCCAAACACTCTGTCCCACAATGATGAAGTGATTCCAAAGCCCTTATCTTGCACCCGGAAGTGATGATTCATGTGATATTTCTGCAAAAACAAGCACAACCTTTATTAGAATTGACGAAAATAACAACATTCTTAAACACTCATGGGAAAAACTTTAAGGTAAATCATTGATGAGTGCCAGCTTTAATCACACAGACAAATTTTGTGATCAATGATCAAGCGAAACTACTTCCGGTTACAAATCTCCTAGGAACCAAAGGCATTTATTTATGGGGCTGACTGTAACCATTTAGAATTAATAATAAGATTACTGTAGTGATTCTAAAAGATTATATGATTGCTAATTAAAGAAGGAAAGGCAAATGGATGCTGTGCTGCTCTTACCTTGAGATTTTTTGGTACTTCATTTGCGGGCTGACCATGGTGCAGGTAGTAATGAGTGCAGTCGTATATCACATAGCCCAGTAAACCACCTCCAAAAAGAGCAGGAGTAGTTGAAGGAGTAGAAAACAACTTGACCATGTTCCAGAACTGGCCAAGACAAATTTACCGTAAAAAACCAATATGATTATGTATATAGAGCAGCTTTTATGAATAAAAACAGCACAAACAACTTAGCGTGTTCAACAAGAACAGAATCCAGTTGATAAAATTTTGGGAAAAATCCTGAACGTAAACATTTGAAAATATTGAAGTGTTCAACAATCAAACACATTTTTTATCAACTATATGGCATGATAAAGCCACAATACACATACGGGCACCAAGAGAATAGCTGTTGCTGCTGGAGGAAAAACAAGGCGGAGACCATCCATAGGGTGCTTATGATGACAACCATGAAGAAGATAATGCATTGTGTTCCCCCTAAAGCAAGTTCAAGTTATCAGAAGACTATTCTACCATAACATAACTTTAAAGAAAGTAATAACTTCAGTGCATGAGTGCGAATAGAGAGAGGACTGACCAATAGCTTTTTGTTTTTATGTGGAAAAGGAAGCGATGCAAAGTGTATTCGAGCAATGTCCAAATGAAAACACCACCAACCACAATTAAGGCTACCTCGGGAAGCGTATGGCCCATCCTTACAGATTTTAAGACAAAATAGCATATAACAGGCAGCCAAATAGATGGAATTGCCCACCAAACTGTGCGTGTCAAGGACTGTTCCAAGTACAAGTGTCAAAGATGCAGTCATTTATTCTCAAAATATGCATTCAAATATGAAAATTCTGACTAGCATATATATGCACACATGACCTGTGATCATGTGGCAGATTGTAGATTCTATGTATGAGACAAAGCGGCAATACCTCCATAAAATCACTCTCAAAAAACCGAGGGCCTTCCCTGCTTACAATAGGCTGGTGGACCCATTCTTCATAAGCTTCTCCTAGATGGCCAACCTGCAATAAAACCTCAAGAATTTGTAATCGCTAACAGAATTAACAATGACAATATGAATAATGAAGCAAGCTGAAAAGTGCTTTGAAAAAGAAGCTTCCCTGTGGCTGAATTAAAAAATCGATGATGTACCTGGAAGACAAGGGGCTTATCTAGATCGACAGTGAATTCCTGTGCAACCATCTTGACACTTAGTTGTGCAGCTGAAGACATATAGGCAAAAATGATGAACAAGTTCAATAGGCAAATTATACAAGTACAGGAAACATAACATAGAAAAATACATTCTAGAATATAATTTCTGCAAAATATTTTAAGCAAATAGTCTTTGGCACAGAAAATTCCAATCTAACATTATTGTATTTCCAGATCCTATTCGTCATAATAGTTGATAAAGCTCATTGGAAACGATATATAAGCTACAAATGTGTCAAAAGAAAAGAAATACACAACAAAATCTATAAGAACACTGTGAAAAGAGATGCTAAGGAAAAAAAGATAGGACTTCAAATATTGTATATTCAACACATTAAGCCATTGAATTGTATCTTACCCCAGGGTCCTGCTACTCCATACCTATCAAATTTCAACTTCAAATTCGCAATGTAATCACTTGCATACAATCCTTCCAAGACATTCAAACTCACATTCCGCCTACAAATGAGCCTTATAATTCAAGGTTGGAACTTTCTTTAATAAATCTCTTGAAAACGTTTTTATACACGTGGATGGGACCATGAACACTTTCACATCTCGATTAAAGTAAATTATTAACTTTGGTTAATATATATATATATATATAAAGACAGTAATTTCTTCCCTTTTACCACATTTTCTGAGGAAACAAACAGAAAAATTCCACCATTAATCAACAAACCAACAATGCATCACTCAGCACATATTCCAGATCAAAAAATCAACCACACAATTCATAAAACCCAATCTTTCTTTCAATTCTCATTCAAAATTCAAAAGAGCAACCAGATTTTCTCAGTGACCAAACAGGAAAAAAAAAACCAAAATGCACCTATTACCCATACCCAATTCCAACCACACATTCCATTTAAAAAAAACCCAAAAAATTTCTGCATAAAAAATCCAAATTTTCAAACACAAAAAAGAAAACTAAGATCCACAAATGAATTATTTAATAACAAAAACAAAAAGACACAAACTTTAAAGAGAAAAGAAGCAATGCAGGTCGGATCTAGAATCAACAAACCTTAATCTTTAATGGGTTTTTTCCTTTTTTCTCTTTCAAAAACAAAAACCACCACAACCAGACCAAAGCTGTGGTGTTTGTGTTTCTGTCTGTCTGTGTTTGTGTTTCGAGGAAGAAATGAGAGAAAAAGGTTGTCGTTGCAGTGAGAAAGAAGTAGAGATTGGAGAAATCTGGACCGTTGAATTTATTATGGGACTCACGTTGGATTCTAAATGTTTCCAGCCTGGAAATTTACGGGGAAAAAAATCTATTCAAACTTTCCAAGGCCTTTTCTTGCTGCTTGCCTGGCCAAGTCTAAGAATATGGTTACTGTATTTTATAATTTTAAAGTCATATCTCGATAAATGTGTTAATTATTATATTAGTATATTAGATGACATAATAGTTGTTAATTGGTACCCAAATTGAGATATTAATAAATAAATAAAATATGACCGTTGATAAATTGACTTGTTTACAAAATTAAAATACAATTTCAAAATTAAAATAAATTGTCTACATATTTTAAAACTCGATCACTTGATAAATAATTTTTCATATTTTATTCATATTCAAGTAGGGAATTTACAACAAGAAGCAACACAAAAGCCTGGAAATATTTTACCACAGAACTAGAACTAGACTAGATAAACAGAGAACCTAACATTGAAATATGTAGTACAGTGTATCAGCAGGCATTGAAAGATCGTGGAGGCTGCTTCCTATGTCAGAAAATGAAATCCATCTGACATTTGCAAGCTCAGTTCCTACGTCTCCTTGTGTGCTTTGGCCTTCTTTGTTGCCTGATTCTAAAAGTCCTCATGAACCAATCATGTTTTCTTTTCGTTACAAAGTATCCTATAGCTGCTCCAATGACAAATCCACTTCCATAACCAATCAGAACAAATTTCCAGTCAAGTCACAAAAGTTCATCTCCTGTAGCCGGAGCCGGAGCCAGAGCGGGTAATTCCTTGAGACTTCCACATTTGTTTGAGAATGGCTCTCCGCTCAGTCCTAAATTGCCATCAAATGAATCTTTCTGAAATGTGTTGAACTGGTTTCCTCGTGGTATTGGCCAGTGAGATGATTATGAGATGCATTGAAGAACTGAAGGAAGGTTAGCTTCACAAGTTGCTTAGGGATGTTCCCAGAAAGCTTGTTTTGCGACAAGTCCAATGCTTCGAGCTTCACTAGATTTTTAATGGATTCTAAGGATGTATAGACTCCATTTATTTCTATATTGATATGATATTGTCCATTTTATCTCTAAATCCTTGTAGATTTGCTCTTGAGTTACACTCAAAAAAACCTCGTACCAATAAAGATATTTGTCCATCCTTATATACTCTTAATCCTTTCCATTTCTAACCAATATGGAACTTTGATCGCATACCTAACAATCTTTCCCTCGAACAAAGGATCATCGAGCCTCTCCTCAAACGATCATTTATCCATCTACTCTATACCAATCAGGATTCTTCATTCTTTATTTCTCTCTACTTTATCGTGTTGGGGTCAAGACACGTTCATGAAGTATCCGGAGAGGAGAGCACTCCCTGACTTGCTCTTTTTTAGGTCAACTTCTCTTCACCATGTTGAAATCAGGTCACGTCTATGAAATATCCGGAGCACACTGTCTATCCAATAGAGCTGATCCATGGATTACATTGTGATCTAATTAAGGCTCATCACCTTTTATTTGGCATTCCGAAGGATTCATCCATCATGGCTAAGTCTGAATCAGACTCTGATATCACTTGTAAAGATTTATGGACACCACCTATCTTCAATTTTCATATTGGTATGATATTATTCACTTTAACACTAAACCCTTATGGATTTGCTCTTGAATTATACTTAAAAGGTTTCATATCAATAAAAATATTTGTTCATCCTTATATACTCTTGATCTTTTTTATTTTTAATTAATGTGAGATTTTGATCACATACCCAACATGGATACCCAACATGGATGATGGGATAAAACAGAGAAGATATTGTTGGAAAGGATGAGTAACCGAAGGCCCTTCAGATTCCCAATGTATTCGGGTATCTCTCCTTCGAATTTGTTGCATGAGAGCTCGATGACTGTTAAAATCTCTAAGATCTTTTTATATTCCATCTCCACGCCTTTGTTTGTCATTGTCATGGAGTAACTATAATGAACATGTATCCATCGACCCTGTATTCGAACACTCGTTTCCGCGTTCATGTATGATAACCGGTCTTCACGGTCAACTTGCATCGCAAACCAGCAATGGAAGTATTCCACTGGCAACTTACCGGTAAAATTATTCAAAGAAAGATCCAAGATCTGCAACATTTGGAAAGAAAAACTCGATTCGGGATTCCCTATTTTGCCATGAAATCCGTTATGCCGCAAAATAACAATCCTCAACTCCGGGAGAGTTCCCATCCATGATGGAAAAGTATCGATGAGCTGATTGTTGTTGGGATCAAGAATCTCAAGCATCTTACAACCAATAATTGATGTCGGTATTTGTCCCTGCAACTTATTTTGACCCAAACTAATCATCCTTAGTCTGCTTCCTTGTACCCATGTTTGTGGAATGGTGCCATAAAGGTTGTTACCCTCTAAACTCAATAAAGACAGAGTGCTGCTAAAGTTGCCCAGACATTGAGGAATCAAACCAGTTAGGTTGTTTTTTGACAAATCAAGTACTATAAAAGAGCTGTTATTGCAAATTGATGGTGGGATTTCTCCAGCCAATGAATTGTTGGAGATCAAATAGTACTTCGTGGAGATCGGCGGAATTGGAAGAGAGCCTTGGAGCATGTTCGAATTTAGTTTTAAAATAGACATACAAGACCATGGAAGAAAAGCTGGAGGTTGGTCGAGGCCTGTTAGCAAGTTGTAAGAAAGGTCCAGGAATTCTAGTTTTTCTGTACTTACTTTCCATATCCAACTAGGTATTCTTCCGTAAAGATAATTCAAGGATAGGTCTAGAAAAGTCAATCGATTTTGCATGTATAAAAAGTTTGGGAACACACTAAGGCTGCATGCAGCCAACCCTAAACGGGTGAGCTTCGGTAGATCAGTGCCATTGGTGCAACTTTTGTTGAGCAACACAAAGTTGTTTCTAGACAAGTAAAGAATCTTTAAGCTCCTTAGTGTAAGAAATTTTTCTATTTCAATCATGCCACTTAAGTTGTTAGGTTGAAAGTTAAGATATTCAAGATTCTTGAGTGCAAAAATTGAGTCTGGAATGAATCCTTGAAATTTGTTTAGTGCAAAGCGAATATAAAATAATTCAGTTAGGTTTCCAATGGAGAAAGGAATTTGGCCATAAAAAGAGTAATTACCAAGGACCAATTTAGAAAGCTTGCTAAGATTACCAACTGAAAAAGGGATCACTCCCGAAAAGTTGCAAGAACAAATCATCAAAGATTCCAAGGAATGGATCCTCCCTATAGAGGCAGGTAAAGGACCCGTGAGCCCTGGATTATGCCGCATGTCAAGATACTGAAGGTTTGGAAGTTGAAGGACCGCCTCTGGGAATTTTCCTTGCAGTCCACAATTAATGAGTGTGATAGCTCGCAGTGAAGATAAATTTGCAAATGTATCAGGTACTGGGAATGAGATATCTACAGAAGCAACCCAAGATATGCTAGGTTGGTTAGGTTTTGCACTAGGCTTCTCAGATCAGGTATTTTAAGTTTCAAAAACCTTTTAGAATATACATTATAGTGGGAAAACAGGGAAAGTTAAGTTAATTTGGACAACTTCGAAATTTCTGATGGAATTTCTCCAACAAATAGGGAGTGGGAGAGCTCGAGAGCTGTTAGCTCAGAAAGATTACCTAATGCAGACGGTATTTGAGAACTACCGAAGTCATTATTGGCGAGGTTGAGCTTTCGAAGTTGAACTAGGAGGAAGAGACTGATGTTGGAGTCAATGGAACCATAGAGACAGCTAGCGTTGAGGTCAAGTTCAATCACATGACCACTATCCTCATCGCACTCGACACCATCCCATAAGCAACAGTCACTACCGTTTCCGTCGAGCTTCCAGGACTGAACCTTTGGATAAGCAAAGGGGAATTTGGAAGCAGACCGGCTAATAACAAAGCTTTCCTTGAATTGCAACAGGGCAGAGCGCTCTTCGCTATGGCATGCGGGGTGCCCTGATGAATAGGCGAGCATGATTTGAAAAGGAGAGAACATCAAAAGCAAGAAAGATATTGTGAAGCTCATGATTATCCAGTGTTAAGTGCTCAGAAGATGGTTGTTGGTACTGAAGAAATAATTTCAATTTCATATTTATGGCACAACATTAGTTCCTTGTAGCATAAGCAACTTCTAGTCAAGTCATCCACCTACATCCTAGGATCGATTCCAGCTTGCCGGTCTCAGAAGGTCTAGTGAAAGTGCCACTTTCACGCGTTATTGAACATTTTCTGTTTTGTGGTCGGAATTTCCACGCCAAATACTGTTTCGTTACGACCCCGTAAGTACCAGCTTTCTGCTTTGCTGTTGTAAACTCCAATTACATTTACTGTTTGGGATTGTTAGAGTATTTATGATTTAAAGTGTTTTTTATTTAAAAATACATTAAAATAGTATTTTTTTTATTTATTTCAATTATCAGTATATTAAAATAATTTATAAACACAAAAAAAAATTAAAAATCTTTAAAAATTGGTTAAAATGCAGCGCTAAACAGGATTAACAACCATGATATCACGATGAGATCATATAATTGGAAATTTATTCAAGTGGTGCAAAGGACATGGAGTTCATCAAAATCGAAAAACAACAAGAAAAAAGAGAGGGCATGCTCGAGAAAGTAGTGAACATTGTAATTACTAATTAGAACATGGATGGATCTATTCCTTTATTTTAATTTCACGTTTTCCATGCTTAAATCAAAGGGTTTGAGAGAGAAAAGTTCATGGATTAAGTGGATTTATTTTTTTAATTATTGTTCTTAATTAAAATGTATACATTTTGCATAAACAAAACATACATGTATCAAAATATTTGTTAAAATGTATACATTTTGCATAAACAAAAGATACATGTATCAAAATATTTGTATTTTAAATATTTAAATATTTTATTTATTTCTTTTTAATAATCCATTCCTAGATTATTAGTAAATTTAGTCGGCTTGTTAACCAAAGCATGTAATATTTGGTCATATGTAATTCATGATATGTACCTCAAATTTTAAATTATTTAAAAATATTTTAATAAATATATAATTACATTCATTAGCATTAAATGTTTACTATGCTAATGCTTGGGAATATGGTTGTAGTTATTTTTTAAAGTGTTTTTTATTTAGAAAAGTGTGTTAATATTTATTTTTTAAAAATTATTTTTAAGATTAACACATTAAAATAATTTAAAAATATTAAAAATATATTAATTCAAGACAAAAAAAATTAAATTTTTTTTAGACTTTTTCCAACTCACTGCCAAACACCTAATGACTAACACGTTGAGTTGTTCCATATACAGCTCTTTGTCAAGACTACCATTTAGAAAGTTTATTTTTATATTTATTTGCTGCATTTCCAACTTATTCATAGCTGTAATCGTTATTAATGTCTATATAAAATTCACTAGAGTTTTTTGTGGTTTAAATCCTTTAAAAATAAGTCTTGTCTTGCATATTTTTTTTAGTAGTTTCATTAGGTTAATTTCATTTCTTCTTGAAGATCCATCTATGACTTTACTTTGGGGTAAAATTTCCACTGGTTTCCATTCAGTCGGCTACATGCTGGTGAGAATGTTCGTGGCGAAAGCCTGCAGGCCTTGAGATTCAGATTCTGAATGATGTAGCTAGTCTGCTACAGTGGAGCAAGTCTTCAGGAAACTGATTATTGAGTAGGTAAATAAATTTGGGAGGTTGATATTGCTGTGCATATTCTTGAAAAGATGTTGTGCTTGCTTCCCTGAGGCTGCCTAACAAGCACAAGCCGTGAACAAGAGTGTTGTTAACTAACAATGTTCGGAGTTAAGTTTTCAAGGAGAGTAGCGTAATAATAAAAAACTTAATATTTGTATGGTAGATTTTAAATTTGAGGAGTCAGAATATATATTTTTTATAAGAGTCTAAAACATTTAAAATTTTATTTATTCATTTAGACTTAAAAAATACACTTTCTAAAAAATAAAATTTTCTCTGATAAAAAAAAAATGTTCAGAGTTAAGCCTTCACGGATCACCAGTTGCACCTTTTGAAATGCTTTTCCAATCAATGAATCGGTTTTCTTCTTTTAATGAATCTTGATCATTAATAAAATAATACAATAAATATTATGATACCAAGATTATAGAAGAAATCTCTTCACATCAGTACCCTCTATTTTTGAAAAATTTACTCTCGATTTAATTACTAGAATTGAATTCAATCACTTTGAAAAATTAGATACTTTGAATATAATATTTTGACCCATTTATTCATGAGATAGTTGCTCCAAATCTAATTTCATCAAATATATGATCATGTAAAATTTATGAATCTAAGCAAGATCTCACGAGACCCAAAAAACCCTCACATGCAACCATCTTTTAAGATAATGATAACTTTAATTAATGTGTTTAGCCAATTTTTAACAATAATGTCTTCACTGTCAGCTAATTTAATAATTTTATAATATCAATTCATTAACGAGAAGCTTAGTTTGGATGACACATCTACACTTTAGTCCTTTTTTTATGCCAATTTCAGCCTTCTTAGCAATTCTTCTAACTTTTTTCATAGTGCTTCAGGACCTTGAGAAGTACCAAGTGGTACTAATTTAAAAGCTTCTTTGCTTTCTTACTCACCAATATTAGATGAAACATTGAGAAGAGTATGACTATTTGCAATAGTGTTGTTGTTGTTCTAATACCGATATAGTATAGATAAACCTATGCTAAATCAGAATATTCATAAAATAAATTAGATATCCATATTTATGTTAGTTCTAGACCTAAAATTATATATAAAAAATAATTTCTAATTAAAACTTACCTCACTAATAGAATTTATCTAGCATTAAGATTATTAAATAATAAAATATTAATTAAATTAAAAGTCAGGTTCTAAGTGGAAAATAGAATTCAAATACAACAATGAAAGTCACGGTAAATTCCAAGTCTTATTTAAAGGAGTTCTCAATTTACAATTATTATGAAATTTTAACCTGAAAAAAAGCTTGACCTTCAAAATCATTTATCAAAATTTTAATTTGATCCAATAACTAGATTAAAAAATATATTTGTTTTATCAAATTACATCTTAGACTCTCTTTAAATTCTTCGAAACCCAAAAATCTTAAATGTTGCTTCCCTGAGGCTGCCTAACAAGCACAGGCCGTGAACAAGAGGGTTGGTAAGTAACAATGTTCGGAGTCAAGCCTCGACGAATCACCGGTTGCACCTTTTGAAATGCTTTTCCAATCAATGAATCGGTTTTCTTCTTTATTAAGCTGTTCTTAACCTAAAACTCTTGATAATTAATAAAATGAAACAATAAATATTATGATACCAAGATTATGGAAGAAATCTCTTCACGTCAGTACCCTTTATTTTTGAAAAATTTACTCTCGATTTAATTACTAGAATTGAATTCAACCACTTTGAAAAAATAGATACTTTGACTACAATATTTTCACCCATTTATTCATGAGATAGTTGCTCCAAATATTTCAAATATAATTTCATAATTTCTGGATACAAGCAAGATTTATCAAGACCCAAAAAACCCTCACATAAAACCCTCACATGCAACCATCTTTTAAGATAATGATAACTTCAGTTAATGAGTTTAGCCATCTCTAACAATAATATCTTCACTATTAGCTAATTTATTACTATTATAAAATTAGTAAATTTTATAATTTACTAATTTTATAATATTTTATAAGCTTAGTTTTTTTATGCCAATTTTAGCTTTCTTAGCAATTTCAACAACTTATTCTAGCTTTTTTTATAGTATTTCAAGACCTTGAGAATTACTATGTGGCACTAATTTAGAAGCTTCTTTACTTGTACGAGTATTTGCAATAGTGTTGTCCTTGTTTTTATCCATAAAAAAGGCTAGCTTATTCTAATACCGATATAGCGGTGATAAAACTATGCTAAATTAGAATGTTCATAAAATAAATTAGATATTCATATATATGTTATGTTAGTTCTATACCTAAAATTATATATAAAAAATAATTTTTAATTAATTAAAACTTACCTCATTAATAAAATTCATCTAGCATTAAAATTATTAAATAATAAAATATTAATTAAATTAAAAGTCATGTTCTACATAGAAAATAGAATTCAAATACAAAAATAAAAACCATGGTAAATTCCAAGTCTTAGTTAAAAGCATTCTCAATTTACGATTATTATGAAATTTTAACCTAAAAAACAAGATCTTTAAAATTATTTATTAAAATTTTATTTTGATCCAATAACCAAATAAAAATATACTTATTTTATTAAATTACATTTTAAACTCTTCTTGAATTCTTCAAAACCCAAATATATTAAATATTACAATAAATATTATTATGCCAACAATTTCAAAGAAATTTCCCCATCTCACTACCAATACCGACAACATATGAGACGGTTTGTCCATATCAAACCGTACTGAGATTCTTTCCCCGACACCAGCCCACGTCCAAAACTAGGATTTCATGACCAGTTCTGCAGCATTATTTTTCTATTTTCAACTCAAGCTTGGATTCACATGAGTACCAGACTTGCGCAACTGAGTTGATTGACCTAGTCTCTTAAACTCACAGAGCATATGAGGCTATGTTAGCAAGACAAACAGAAATTGGACCCATATGTGGAACACATCCCGTAACAGGATTTTGGAGTCACATATTTTATTGATCATCTTAGGAGAAAACAAGACATCTGGATCAAAATGATTTTCTTCTAGTTATATTTTCAGATTGTATGGAAGATGGCAGACTCTTTCAACACATATAGACACTGGATAGCAGCTAATAATATCTTCAAAGACGGAGTCTTGAAACTCTGATCCATCCTTTAATGCCATGCTTATATGCACTCTGTGTTCACTATATGTAAGAGTTCTTGTGACCATCATTTTCCATCTCAAACTTACTTCATCAGTCTCTCTCTAACAATACTTCGAAGAATCAAAATGGCTAGTCACCTTTTGGTTGTTGCAAGTTTACTAGTCATTGCTTGTGCCATGGTTACTGCCTTTGAGCCTAGTCCATTGCAAGATTTCTGCGTTGCAGATCCTACTAGCTCAGGTCAGGATCTGACTAATTTATAAAGTAGCTTTAATTGCAAAAAAAAACGATGCATGTTTTAGCTTCTGCTCTTTCCAGACCATTAATCAGTACATGTCAGATGTTTGGCTCTTGTTTCTTACAAATATTTTTTTCATATGGCAGCAAAAGTTAATGGCCTAGCTTGCTTGGACCCGAAGATGGTGCAAGCCAACCACTTTTCCTTTAGTGGACTCCATATTCCTGGGAATACATCAAATTCCCTTGGCTCTGCAGTTTCACCAGTCTTTGTAGGCCAATTACCTGGACTCAACACCCTTGGAATCTCAATGGCCCGTATCGACTATGCACCATGGGGTCTGATCCCTCCTCACACGCACCCTCGAGCCACTGAAATTCTAACAGTCTTAGAAGGCAAACTCCTCGTTGGCTTTGTGACTTCTAACCCTGAAAACAGGCTCATTACTAAGGTCCTTGAGAAGGGTGATGTGTTTGTGTTTCCTATTGGACTTGTACATTTCCAGAGAAATGTTGGCTATGGAAGTGCTTTCTCAATCTCTGCCTTAAGCAGCCAAAACGCTGGTGTTGTTCTCATTCCAAATACTCTGTTTGGATCCACTCCAAGTATTCCTGGAGACATTCTAGCCAAGGCTTTGCAGGTGGACAAGTCAGTCATTGAAAAACTTCAAGCTCAATTCTAGACGGTCGAGATCCTGAAATGAAGAATTTCTCCTTTCTTATCAATATTTTTTTTTTTGGTGATTTCTTACATTTATCTAGTCCTCATCTATTCTAATGTATGACGATTTGTATCATTTACTTCCAAAATGTTCCTAAGACTTCCATAAAGTTCGCAATAATTTATTGTTTGATCAGATACTGCTGCTTTATGACTGTAATTGCCCACCAAATTCTTCCAGCCATATAATAAGCTTACATAATATAAATGAGAAAACATCTGATGATTGAAAGCAATTTCATTCCTGAAGGTCCAGTTAGTCCAAATGGTGACAAAAAGCATTGCACTAATCTTTCTTCTGCATGTTGTCGTGGCCAAAGTGCTCAATTGCCAGAATATTTCTTCGATAGAACTTGACATACACCACATGATTCCTGACTTCGATTGAGTTAATTCCACTTACTCTAAATACTAGGCCACTGCATTAGAGAATGCAGTATGTTTCAGCAGAACTACCATAGAAAGAATAAATCTGGCTACTTTAGCAGTTTTGCACTCCTCGCTCCAAATGACTTGACTGAAAATTCCATTGCAGCAACAGAGCAAGTTTAATTTTGACACACTCTAGCAGTTTTCATGCATTTGTTAAAAATTGATCTTAATCAATCTCGGCAGGCCCGAAACATATCGTTCCATGCGTTTCTCTAGAATTATTCGAAGTTATTTAGTGCAAGGTTAGTTTTAGTTCTGAGATGGAAGAAGACATCCTCTGCGTGAACTAAATGATTAAGAAGATTTGCAAATGTGGCACTAATGAAATCAATAGCAACAACATATGACAAGTTCGATCGTATGAAACCGAACTCAAATTATGTTGAGCATATCTTGTATTCTTAAGCTTAATTCCAAGTACCTGAGGACTTTTCAGAAGCTGGGAAGAACAGGAAGGCGAATAGTGAGAGGGATGCAAGGTATCGTAGACAGAGGAAGCCATTTGGAATAAAGGGATGTACTTCTATAGCTATATTCGGCTTGAATTGAAGATGCCAGACTCTCTCAATTCCAGTGCTGACATTGGACGTCAGCTAACTCGTTCAAAGTCTAATTCTTTAATTTCCGAGCAGCTCTTCATCATATGCATATATGTAAGAGTTGATGTAGCGACGATTTCACAACTTCAAATCACTTGAACAAAAGCTTATCAAGCTGCTGCTAATAATACCTCGAAGAATCAAAATGACTAAACACATGTTATTTGTTGTGAGTTTAGTAGCCATTGCTTGTACCTTGGCCATTGCCTTTGAGCTCAGTCCACTGCATGATCTCTGTGTCGCAGATCCTACTCGTCCAGGTCAGGACCTTACTGAATTGTAAGCGATCATTGTACAGTAGCTTTAATTCCAGAAAAAATTGTCACAAATGTTTTTGCTTCTGCTCATCTCAACTATCCTAGAAGGAATCCCAATCCCGTACAAATTTCAAGGAACATTGATTGACACACAAAACAACGTAGTGTTTTTACCTCCAAGAAATATCCCACGCTTATGAATGGACGAATTACCAGTGTGGTCAGTGGTGTCCTTTCATGGACTTGTTTTTGTAATGGGCATTAACTTTTTTCGCTAATTACTTGCAAGCCCTAACCTTTCCTATCAATGGAACATTAATACAATTTTCTAAGGGATGATTAAGTAGTAACGACTTGAAATTAAAGAGTTTGTTTTCTTTGTGATCTGAGATTTGAATTCTTGATTATTTATATGATGGCAACTGGAGGCTTACATGATCATTAATTTCAGAACTCATGGGCTTGATTGCTCATATATGGCGATTGAAGGCTTACATAATCATTAACTTTAGAGTTTATGGAATTAATCGTGATGCGCATAAACTGTTTCAGATATCCATGTTAATCTAAAAAAAATAAAAAAAAATAAAACACTAAGACACAGCAATCAACAACACTTGGTTCAGGTAACCTGCACGGTAAAGGCCACTGCAAACAATTTCTTGCTCGTCGGGGTAATTTTATGCGACAAAGGTGATCCAACATGTTTATCCACCTTTTGACCAAAATTTCCCTTTTAAAAAATAAAGTTGATGTGATTTTTAGTCTGATTACAGATCAATGTAAATTTTCCAAATTTTTAATAGGTTGTTTTTTTAAAAAAAAAAAAATTTGGCCAATCTAGATTAACCAAATCTTACTTCAATCCACCCAACCAATCTAGTTTTATAACTATAATTATTACATAGTGTTTTTACCTCCAAGAAATATCCCAAGCTTATGAATGGACGAATTATCAGTGTGGTCAGTGGTGTCCTTGCATGGACTTGTTTTTCTAATGGGCATCAACTTTTTTCGCTAATTACTTGCAAGCCCTAACCTTTCCTATCAATGGAACACTAAGGCACAGCAATCAACAACACTTGGTTCAGGTAACCTGCACGGTAAAGGCTACTGCAGACAATTTCTTGCTCATCGGGGTAATTTTATGCGATAAAGGTGATCCAACATGTTTATCCACCTTTTGACCGAAATTTCCCTTTTAAAAAATAAAGTTGATGTGATTTTTAGTCTGATTACAGATCAATCTAAATTTTCTACATATTTAATAGGTTATTTTATTTTATTTTAAATTTGGCCAATCTAGATTAATCAAATCTTAGTTCAATCCACCAAACCAATCCAGTTTTATAACTATAATTATTATACTATTATTAATTTTAACCTTTAATATAAATTAAAATAAAAATAATTTATTAAATCCTGTTGACAATTTTCTTAATACCGTAGTAAAACAGTCAACCGTCAACGTCTCTTGTTCCGCATCTTTTCTTCACCATCTCCTATCCTTCTTATCTACACTGTGTTGTCTCTTGTGACAATAAGCAGACGCGCTACAGTTGCGAATAAATTAGAGGAATAAGTAAGTCTAAGGTAAAGAAGACTAAATTTGGCTGATACATGCATTTTACAGTTCTTATGCGGTACAGATATGCTTCATGCAATTGAGCTGAACATTTCTGCTGGTCTAGCAGTTGACATAAATAAATTGCAGGCTTGATGCTGCTTCTCAAACTGAAATGAAACCAAGACAAGTATACAACAAATTTCCACAATTTAGGAAATGAAAGTATTTATGAATCTTGATTCTGTGTCTGTAAATTTACAGTTACAACACCTCAGGTTGGAATCCCAGCAAAAAAAGATTGGAATTGCTCATCAGACTTTAGTAATACACTTTGAGACGTGAAGAACACTTTCCCTGGAAGCAAAAACCACCCAAGATCCTAGCTTGAGATTGAAGCTCGGGACCTATTCACCGGCTCGTTTACACATCTAAATCTTCCAATCAATTTTATCAGCAAACACGATGCAAGTGTAAGCACAAGGGATAGACTTCGACCTCCTACAAGACCAGCAAGAGCAACAAAAAATAGAATCAGATAATCTGAACTGCCCTTTTTATCAACTACTACTACTTCCGTTTCAGCCTGCCATCCAGTGCTAGTGCTAGAACTTCCTTGATCAGGTTCTTTTCCTTTTCTCCTCTCTTCTATTCCCTCTTCTTCTTCCTCTTCCTCTTCCTCTTCTAGCAACTTTGATAGCAAGGCTTTGCCTTTGTTTTCAAAACCTTGTTTGTCACCATCTTCTGGCATTTCAATTATCCCCATCTCATCGTCTCCCCAACAACTAGATGATTCACTACCGACATCTAGTTCCTGTCCCTTGTTCCTTTTCGCCTTCTTTATAGCCCGCAACTTCTTTGGCACCAATTTCTTTATGATCTTTCTTCTGATTTTTGATTTTCGGCTTCGCTCTTTTTCGCATACCAAAACTCCACTTTTATCTTCCTCTACCTCCATCATTCTCCAGTCACAGACGAGCAAATCCATTCTTGATTCAGCTCCCCTATTTGCTTCAACTGGCACAATCCTATCAAAATTAAATTCCACAGCTTGAGTTTCCTCAATTGAAGACTTCATTTCAAGAGTCTCAATTAAATCACAAGAATCAATCCCACCAACATCTTCTTCTTGTTCTATCTCTTGAATGATCAATTCTTTTCTTGAATCATCACATTTCCTTACTCCTTTCAACATCAGAAATGCTGAAGAAACCCTTTCGACAAATAGTTCTAAGACTATATCTACATTCAGACATGGTTTCAAGAAACATAACACATGCTTTCCAACATATTCAAGAAAAATAAGCACAAAAGCAGACATTGTTATCCCAACAGCAAGCTTTTTAGTACTCAAACCCAAAACCACCACCAAAAACATCTTCAAAACCACAAACAACAAACGTTTCTCTTTCTCATTCCAACATTTCTTATCAGCAACCTTAACATCATCAACAACTTCAACATCTTCATCATCTTCAACAACAGGCAATAACCGACTCACCAAATCACATACATCAAAACTCCCCATATTTTCCAAATTCTGAATAGGGCCTGGTGAATCCACCAGCTCTATAGAACTTGATACAAAAATAGGATCAGAGATTACAAGTTCCTCCTCCACCTCTTGCAACTGCTGTTGTCTCTTCTTCTTCGTCTTGCCAGTTGGTTTCTTTAACCTTTCACGGTTCTTGACAAAGAGATCAACAAGAGAAGTAGGGAAACCAGTCTCAACAACAAGAGAATTCCCTCTTTTTGGCGACTGAAGATCTGCCACAATACGTGAAAATCTTGAAACTTTGTCCTTCTTCCACGGAAAAGGCATGTTCGCGTCAGAAAAGATTGGATTTTGAAGGATGCCCGGATGAGAATTTTCCCTAAAAATATAGAATTTGAAGAGAATATGTGTGATCTTGTTCTCTTACAAGCATCCTATATAAATGTCCCAAAAAAATGTCTTGTTTTCGTGTTTTATTGTGCTGATAATAAGGGAGACACCGCGGGGGGTGTGGCAATGGGAAGAAATTACCGTGGAAACGCGTGTGGGCTGCTGATGAGATTGTTTAACTTTTAATAATTTATGATATTTATTTTTTAAGATACTAGGAACGTG